AAACACACCTTCCCAAAATTGATCAAAGATACAGTAATTGCAAATAATCCTGTACCTACTAAGGAAATTGAATTTATAATTAAAAACTCTTCTACAAAGAAAGCTCCAGGCACACATGGCCACACTGGTGAATTCTATCAAACATTTAAGAATTTAAAAAATCAAGATCTAACCTTCAAGCTTCAGAACTATAAAAAACATGAACAAATTAAGCCCAAAATAAATAGAAACAAAAAAAAAAAAAAAGAAATACAACAAAAAAAAAAAAACAAAAAAAAAAAAAAAAAAAATACGACAGTACCATGAAAAGATTAATGATATTCACAAATTTTTAGCAATACTGAACAATAAACAGAGAGAGAATAACATCATTATCAAGAATGAGAGTGGGAATATTGCTATAGTCTCTAAAGATGTTAAAGGGATAATAAAGAACTATCATGAACAAATTTATGTCAATAAATTCAAAACTTAGATGAAAGGGACACTTTCCTTGAAAGACATAATTCATCAAAACTGACATGAGAAGAAATAGAAAATGTGAATAGCTGTATGTCTGTGAAAGACATTTTATATATATTTCTGTATCTGTATATCTATATAAATTTGTTGTTGCTGTTTTTTAATGAAATCTCACTCTGTCGCCCAGGCTGGAGTGCTGCAACCTCCGCCTCCCGGGTTCAAGTGATTATCTTGCCTCAGCCTCCTGAGCAGCAGGGATTACAGGCGCACACCACCAAACCTGGCTGATTTTTGTATTTTTAGTGGAGACGGGGTTTCATCATGTTGGCCAGGCTGGTCTTGAACTCCTGACCTCAGGTGATCCACCCTCCTTGACCTCCCAAAGTTCTGTGATTACAGGCATGAGCCACTGCACCTGGCCAAGATATTACATTTTTAATTAAAACTTTCCACACATGCACATGCAAAAATTTAGAACCAGAAGTCTTGGATAAATTCTATTGATATTTAAAAGGAAAAATCATATCAAATTTATACAAATATTTTATCATAAATTTCAGAAGGAAAGAATATTCTCCAACTTATTTTATGAGACCATGTATATCTTTGATAGCGAAATCTGGAAAAGATATTACAAAAGAAAACTACAGACCAAAATTTCTTATGAGTCAGATGCAAAAATTCTTAACACAGTAGTAGCAGGTAGAATCCTGAAATATATCAAAGGATAATACAGAATGGCTAGTGGGGTTTATCTCAGTAGTTGCAATGTTTGCTTAACATTTGTAAATCAAACAATGAAATTTACCACATTAACAGAATAAAGGAGAAAAATTATGTGAATATCTCAATAAACACAGCAAAAGGCTTTGACAAATTTCAACACCCATGGAGAAGTGATTGACGGTCAAAGAGTGTAAAGCCTTAATTAAATCGGATGAATAATTTTTTCTTTGAGATATATTACATAGTGTGGTAAATATAGTAAATAATAATGTAGTATTCATTTGAAAATAGCTGAGATTATACATTTTATTTTTTTACTTCAATAACTTTTTGGAGAGCAGGTGGTGTTTGGTTACATGGATAAATAGTTTAGTGGTGATTTCTGAGATTTTGATGTACCCATCACCAGAACAGTGTACATTGCACCCAATGCATAGTCTTTTATCCCTCACCCACCTCCCACTCTTTTTCCTTGAGTCCCCAAAGTCCATTGTATCATTCTTATGCCTTTGTATCCTGATAGCTTAGCTCCTGCTTGTAAGTAAGAACATTCAAGGTTTGGTTTTCCATTCCTGAGTTACTTCACTTAGAGTAATGGTCTCCAACTCTATCCAGATTGCTGTGAATGCTGTTATTTTGTTCCTTTTTATGGCTGAGTAGTATTCCATGGGGTGTGTGTGTGTGTGTGTGTGTGTATATATATATATGTATATATATATATATGACATTTTCTTTATCCACCCATTGATTCATGGGCATTTGGGCTGGTTCCATATTTTTACAATCGCAAATTGTGCTGCTATAAATGTGCATGTGTGAGTGTCTTTCTCAGAAATGATTTCCTTTCCTCTGGGTAGATATCCAGTAGTGGAATTGCTGGAACAAATGGCAGATCTACTTTTAGTTCTTTAAGGAATCTCCACAGTTTTCCATAGTGGTTTTACTAGTTTACATCCCCACCAGCAGTGTAAAAGTGTTCGCTTTTCACATCCATGCCAACATCTATTATTTTTTGATTTTTTAATTATGGCCATTCTTGCAGGAGTAAGGTGGTATTGTTTTGTGGTTTCGATTTGCATTTCCCTGATAATTAGTAATGTTGAGCATTTTTTCATATGTTTATTGGCCATTGGTATATCTTCTTTTAAGAATTGTCTATTCATGTCCTCAGACCACTTTTCAATGGGATAATTTGTTTTATGCTTGATGATTTGTTAGATTTCCTTGTAGATTCTGGATATTAGTCCTTTGTCAGATGCAGTTTGTGAAGACTTTCTTCCACTCCATGAGTTATCTGTTTACTCTGCTGATTGTTATTTTTTTTTCCTGTGCAGAAATTTTTAGTTTAATTAAGTCCTATTGATTTATCTTTGTTTTCTTTTTACACTTACTTTTGGGTTCTTGGTCATCAAGTCGTTGCCTAAGCCAATGTCTAGAAGGGTTTCTCCTATGTTATCTTCCAGAATTTTTATGGTTTCAGGTCTTAGATTTAAGTCTATGATCCATCTTGAGTTGATTTTGTATGAAGTGAGAGATGAGGATCCAGTTTTAGTCTTCTACATGTGGCTTGCTAATTATCCCAGCACTATTTGTTGAAAAAGATGTCCTTTCTCCACTTTATGTTTTTGTTTGCTTTGTTGAAGATCAGTTGGCTGTAAGTATTTAGGTTTATTTCTGGGTTCTCTATTCTGTTCCATTGGTCTATATGCCTATTTTTATACCAGTACCATGGGTTTTGGTGACTATAGCCTTATAGTTTGAAGTTGGGTAATGTGACGCCTCTAGATTTGTTCTTTTTGTTTAGTCTTGCTTTGGTTATGCAGGCTCTTTTTCAGTTCCATATGAATTTTAGGATCATTTTTTCTAGTTCTGTGAAGAATGATGATGGTATCTTGATGGGAATTACATTGAATTTGTAGATTGCTCTTGGAAGTTTGGTCATTTTCACAATATTGATTCTACCCATCCATGAGCATGGGATGTGTTTCCGTTTGTTGGTGTCATCTATAATTTTTTTCAGCAGTGTTTTGTAGTTCTCTTTGCAGAGGTTTTTCACCTCCTTGGTTAGATATGTTCCTAGGTATTTTATTTTTTTTTTTTCAGCTATTGTAAAAGGGGTTGAGTTCTTGATTTGATTCTCAGCTTGGTCACTTTTGGTGTATAGCAGTGCTACTGGTTTGCGTACATTGACTTTGTATCCTGAAACTTTACTGAATTCATTTATCAGATCTAGAAGCTTTTTGGTTGAGTCTTCAAGGTTTTCTAGGTGTACAATCATGTCATTAGTGAACCATGGCAGTTTGCCTTCCTGTTTACTGATTTGAATGCCCTTTATTTCTTTCTCTGTCTAATTGCTCTTGCTAGGACTTCAAGTACTATGTTGAATAGAAGTGGTGTAAATGGGCATCCTTATCTTGTTTCAGTTCTCAGGTGGAATGCTTTCAACTTTTCCCCATTGAGTATGATGTTGGCTGTGTGGTTTGTCATAGATAGTTTTTATTATGTTAAGGTATGTCCCTTCTATGCCGAGTTTGCTGAGGTTTTTTATCATAAAGGGATGCTAGATTTTGTCAAATGCTTTTCTGTGTCTATTGAGATGATCATGTGATTTTTGTATTTAATTCTGTTTATATGGTTTATCACATTTATTTACTTGTGTATGTTAACTTATTTCTGTATCCCTGGTATGAACCCATTTGATCATGCTGGATTATCTTTTCGATATGCTGTTGGATTTGGTTTGCTAGTATTTTGTTGAAGATTTTTGCATCTGTATTCATCAAGAATATTGGTCTGTAGTTTTCTTTTTTTGTTATGTTCTTTCCTGGTTTTGGTATTTGGGTGATACTGGCTTCATAGAATGATTTAGGGAGGATTCCCTCTTTCTCTATCTTTTGGAATAGTGTCAAAAGGATTGGCACCAATTCTTCTTTGAATGTCTGATATAATTCAGCTGTAAATCTCTCTGGTCCTAGACTTTTTTGTTGGTAATTTTCAAATTACCATTTCAATCTTGCTGCCTGTTACTAGTCTGTTGAGAGTTTCTATTTTTCTTCCTATTTTAATCTCCAGGAATTTGTCCATCTCCTCTGGGTTTTCTAATTTGTGTGTGTAAAGGTGTTCATAGTAGCCTTGAATGATCTTTTGAATTTCTGTGGTATCAGTTGTAATATCTCTTGTTTCATTTCTAATTGAGCTTATTTGAATCTTCTCTCTTCTTTTCTCGGTTAATCTCACTAACGGTCTATTAATTTTGTTTATGCTTTCAAAGAACCAGCTTTTTGTTACATTTATCTTTTTGTTTGTTTGTTTGTTTGTTTCAATTTCATTTAGTTCTGCTCCAGTTTCTTTTTTGTTCTTCTGCAGGGTTTGGCTTTGGTTTGTTCTTGTTTCTCTAGTTCCTTGAGGTGTGACCTTAGGTTATCTATTTGTGCTCTTTCAGACTTTTTGACGTAGGCATTTAATGCTATGAACTTTGCTTTTAGCACCACTTTGCTTTATCCCAGAGATTTCAATAGGTTATGTCACTATTATCACTCAGTTCAAAGAATTTTTAAATTTCCTTCTTGATTTCATTGTTGACCCAAATATCATTCAGGAGTAGATTATTTAATTTCCATTTATTTTCATGGTTTTGAGGATTCCTTTTGGAGCTAATTTCCAATTTTATTCCACTGTGGTCTGAAAGGATACTTGATATAATTTCAATTTTCTTAAATTTGTTGAGACTTGTTTCATGGCCTATAATATGGTCTATCTTGGAGAAAGTTCCATGTGCTGTTGAATAGAATGTATAATCTGTGGTTGTTGGATGGAATGTTCTATAAATATCTGTTAAGTCCATTTGTTGTAGGGTATAGTTTCAATCCATAGTTTCTTTGTTGACTTTCTGTCTTGATGACTTTTCTAGTGCTGTCAGTGGAGTATTGAAGTCCACTATTATTACTATGTTGCCATCTATCTCATTTCTTAGGTCTATTAGTAATTGTTTTATAAATTTAGGAGTGACAGTGTTAGGGATATACGTATTTAGGATTGTGATATTTTCCTGTTGGACTCATCCTTCTATCATTATATAATTTCCCCCTTTGTTTTTTTTAATTGTTGTTGCTTTAAAGTAGTTTGTTTTGTCTGATATAAGAATAGGTACTCCTGCTCACTTTCGGTATATATTTGCATGGTATATCTTTTACCAACCCTTTACCTTAAGTTTATGTGGGTCCTTATGTGTTAGGTGAATCTCTTGAAGACAGCAGATACTTTGTTGGTGAATTCTTATCCATTCTGACATTCCGTATCTTTTATGTGAAACATTTAGGCCATTTGCATTCAATATTAATATTGAGATGTGTGATACTATTCTATTCATCATGTTAGTTGTTGTGTTAATACATGGTTTTTTTTTTTCCATTGAGTTATTGTTTTATAGGCCCTGTAAGACTTAGGCTTTAAGGAGGTTGTATTTTGAGGTTTTATTTCCTGATTTAGAGCTCCTTTTAGCAGTTATTGTAGTGCTGGTTTGGTAGTGGCAAATTCTCAGTATTTGTTTATCTGAAAAAGACTGTATCTTTCCTTCTATTTAAGAGGGATCTTGCCACCATGACCAAATACATGGGGTGACAGAAGGAATAAAACTCATGAATGAATTATTCACCATTCCCTAAAAATCTCTATGCTTTTATTAACAGTGCCACTGTAAATTATCTCTTCTCCCATTTCCATCTGTCCAGATCCTATTTATCTCTCCTTCCCCAGTACAAAGATTGAGGTGACTGGCAAAATTTGCAGAGGGTATAATTATAATTATAATGCTGGGTAAATTGTAGTCATCAGTTAACATTCTACCTATTACACAAAGCCTTCCATCATCCACTCACTTCTACATACACACTTAGAAATGAGATCTGTTCTGTCTCTGCTGTCCTTCCTTGTGTTTGCATCCTGCAAGGTTTCAGAACAATTGGACCAATATGATGGGCATGAGCATTGAGATTTCTTCTTCTATACTCTGCTGTTGTTAGGTAACAGCAAGCAAATGCCATCTATATCTACAGTCAGCATTGGTACATTGACAATAATGGTGCCCAATGGATGCCACACCGTCATACAGAACAAACATCACAGCAGTCTCTTCAGATTCTAGGTCACTGCCACATGGGTGAGAAGAACGTACGATTACTGTGATTATAGTCACTGCGTAGAGACATGAATTTCTCAGGCTGCCAGGATCACAACAGCAGTTATCTTCAGTCCAGAGTTATGGTAAAGCTACACTTTACCCACCTATTCTGAAAAGAGGTACCTGAGCACAAATGCACAAATGGCACAATTTCAGACTGGGGCAATCCCGTAACCTCACTATCTGCTTGGCTTTCCTGGAATGAGCATGTGACCCATGTTGGCCATGCAGTCAGCTTGAGAATCCCAAATCCCTGAAACCAGGTCCAGTGTTCTTCCCATTCCAGCACTTGCACATTCTCCTTCTCTACATATCCTGGGATTTCTAGATGCTGATTTGGTTTTGCCTGGAGGCAAGGACTTCTACTGCTGGAACACACGGTAATGGTGGTAGATAGTTCCGCAATGCCTGTGACCTAAGCACGTGTAGGGTCTCTTAAAAATCTTTTCAGGAATTGTGTATTGGTGTGATGTTGGACTATAGATTGAGGGCTGTTGTAAGATTCAGCCTATTAATCTTTTGATATCATCAATTATACAACCGCTGCTGAGATTGTTGTCTTGCATGAGCAGTCACCTAGTGAACATTCTCTAATTTATTGGAATCTTATTGTTCTGCTTCAGCTGGGTGCTTGGGGGGTGGCATTCCTCTTCAGGATGGCAGCAAGATAACTGGGAATTTTTAGATACCCTCTCCTTTGAGAACCCTTGAGCCACAAATACAACTCTTGGATAGCATGTGTCACTTTGGGAGGCAGTCTTTTCTAAACTAGTGTCCTTCCTTCACAGGCTGTGTGCTCTATGAATGTAGGTGTGTTTACTTTGACTCCTAAGTGTCTGGCATGCAAGCTAGAGAATAGAAGATGCTCAGTATCTGTTTATACTGTAAACAGTAGAATAAGTGAGAGATGCTGTTATGAAAAGCCCACTTAATGATATATTCAGGAATGCAAGTGGATAGGTTAATTGAAAATGTCTGTTAATCAGTATTCATAAAAAGGGAAACGTTTGTAATGTGAATATTTCATTTTTACCTAGAATTCATTCACTATAATAGAACTAAACTACAGAACATTCCTTTGTGTAGGGTTTGCAAATAGAATTCTACTCTATCTTGCTGAAAGCATATCTATCAATCATTGTCTATGACTTGCAGTGTGGATTCATTTAAATGTAGATTCTAGCGTCAGATGCATAGCATTCTCACTGAGTATATTGCTCCATATTGTTAATTTTTGTTTAATCTGATAGAGTTGGCAGACTCACACCTATTAAACTAACAATAATTTTGGAACCTGCTTTTATTGTCCCTTTAAGCATTCACATTAGTTTGTATGGAAACCGCAGTTCTTCTTTCATACTCGTATTTTGTTGATTTGTGGTGTATTTTGATAAATTAGGTAATTATATTGACAAGTCTAATTGTCAAAATCAGGACAGGAAACAGATCCAATTGGTTCTTGTGAAGCTGATGACTCAGTGCCCTTGAGCCCAGGTGTACTAGAGCATCAATGAATGACCACAAAGGCTCAGCATTTGCTCAGCATCAATCCATATATTTTCTTCAGGAAGTGGAAAGAATTGGATATAGAGATGGAATGTATTAGTGTGAGACTTATTTGAAAGGTGTTTGCTTTTATGCAGAATTAGCACAGTGCTTGATGAATTAGGTTCGAATGTTTGTTGAATTCATGCCTAAAAAATAGTCATGAATGGCAGCTCCCAAAAAGTGCCATTAGAGACTTTTATATCATTTCTCCCTTTCTGGGGAACACGCCAGGATGTCCTGCACGCTCTTCCTCGACATGGAACTGAGAGGAAATGATATCATTGGCCTGGGAAAGAAAGCATTTCACTAGCAGACTCCCACATCCCCTCCATTCTTCTTCCCGGAGGCAGTGAGCAGACCTGCAATGAAAGGGAACAGCTGTTCTCAGAAAAACCAACTGTAGAGGACACTCTGTTGTGTGGGAGGTACCTGCAGGAGTTCCAGTGAGACCTGGTGACTGAGCCAGCCTTTGCAAGATGTTGGACAAACCTGTGATTTTCAGGTGGGAGCTGCTTGAGAAAAATAGTTACCAAGACTTCTAAATTCCACACCTAGTCTGTTGCACCAGAAATTCAAAGACATGTTCTCTGCTCTTAAAGACCTCAGAATGTGGTTGAAGAGAAAGATGTGAGGACAAACAATTGAAATATACTATTTTAAGTGCTGTAGTGGAGCAATGTGTGAGGCCAAGTGAGTTCAGAATGGGCTTCAGGGACGGAATCTAAGTTTTCATAAAGTTGAAATTTTCTTCCATCAAAAGAAAGAGTCACTAACGTCAAAATAAGCAGTGGCCCAGGTGAGAACCAATATTATTTAATTCAATTGCCAGGTGAAAATTCACTACAGAATTCCTCATGATAAACATCTTTATCCAGAACTGTACAATTGATATCACAGACTCCCAGAATGGGCTCTCTCAATAACCCTCAGCCTGAATTAAAGACATCATATTAAAGCTCCTTGCCTGGAGCATTGGCTGCAAACACTGCCTTCCCACTTCCTCCGACACGTAGGAAAGCCTCACCTACAGCTATGTCCTACTATGGCATTTGGAAATTGAGGGTGGACAGATAGGATTCAGCATCAGCAGAGTGCTGGTCCTGGAAGAGCAATGGATCTGGACTCAGGGGACCTGAGTTCGACGTTGTGAACAATGTGATACGAGTCACCAGTAAATTTGGTTGGACAAACGGAGAACTATAGACCTCTTTATTGCTTTCATAACTGCTTTGTACTGTCTCCTGCATACTCAAAATGCATGTGTCAGCTCCCCTCAGTGAGGGTCAATCTGAGGGGCAGCCTCACTGTCTGTGAGCAGCACACAGCCTGCTGTGATGTCACATCTTCTCTTGGTGGTCTCTTCTGTCTGCTTGAGTTATCTGTTGAAGGGATAACCACTAGTGGAGCATAGTCCTGAATTTTGTACTGATCCTGTGTTTATAATTACATGTTTTTAGTTGTGGTAAAATGTTAATAACATACATTTTATAACTTTAACCATTTTAATTGTACAATTCAATATCATTAAGTACATTCACAATAAGTAGTAACCGTTACCACTGTCCCTTTTAAGAACTTCATCATTCTGCACAGAAAGTCCGTGCTCATTAAATAATTGGCTACACAGTCTCTCCATCATCCAGCACCAGGATCCTCCTAATTTATTTTCTGTGTTCACGAATTTTCTAGTTTGGATACCTTGTAGAATTTGATCTTACAATATTATTCTTTGGTATCTGGCATATTTTCCTTAGCACAATGTTTCCGTGTTCACCTAAGTCACAACTTAGAATTTTGTACCATGTATCAGAATTTTGTACCAACTGTAAGTTATTATCCAGATACTATAATTGACATTAGCATGGAAAAGTCACATGTTTTCAGTTTTGCTTCTTATGTTAACAGCCATAAAACTAACTGAAAGTTACACCCAGAAAATTTGTACAAAACCTGGAAGAATGAAGAATTCTACACTTAAAGACTCTGTAAATGAATAACAAATGGTTTTCAAGATAATTCCAGTTTGAAATCAATATTGAGGTTTCCAATGGCCAAAATGGAACTGGTGGGGTATATTTACAGGCTCCTCACTGGTCCTTTAGTCCAGGAAGAGCTAAATAAGCACTTACCAGTTCTCAAGGGGAAAGGGCCATGGTTGTCTTTTCTAGAAACCAAGGCCAAGGTGTGACCATGTGTGGACAAATGACGGGAGAGGGCTATTCATAAAACCAATTTCTAAGACTGTTTTTATGAAGGGAGAATCTCTCTCTAAGGACATTATTTTGCTTTATATCTGAGAATTCAATGGAATTTAGAGGTAGCAGAACTCACTTATTCAGAATCGAGTTTCCAACTGCAGTAATGCCTCCAGTCATAGAAGGGAACATGATTTTCAGGGAAACATAATCTGAGAGATTAATAAGGAATCTTCCTTTTTGGTACTATCAGGTAGAAAACAAGTATAAACAGTGTTTTAGGGTTTTGGACAGGAACTCCTTTTATTACTATGAAAAGTGCAGAAAAAGTGTTCAGTAGGAAGGATTCAGTGTAAGATAACAGGGAAAATGTGTTGGTAATATCAAGGAGAATCTAAACATTGTACTGTCAGACTAATGCTTTCCGTGGGTGAAAACTGGAACTGTCAGGTTAGATAAACATCTATTTGAAGACCTTGAGTTACCACTGAGACATTTCTGAGGCACAACGCTAAGAAAAACGAATATAATTGTCAAGGTTTGCAGGGCAGTGTTGCTCTCAAAGTCCCGTCTGACTGACAGGGCAGGGGCTCTTTCACTGCCTGCATCGGCTTCCCGACAGCTCTAGGGTTTCCTCAGGAAGCCGCCCTCCACCTTCATCCACCTCAGGCGTGTCCTGCAGAGCCCTCTGGAGAACCAGCTTCAGGTTCTGCCTATTTTGACGCTGCCTAAAGGAGCCCACGAAGAAGTAAATGATGGGGTTGGCACTGCTGTTTAGAGAGGACAGGAACATGCAAACCCGATAAACGTGACAATATAAGACTTTCCAATCCCTGTGGATCATGTAATTTAGGGACCCCAGAATGCCGAAGGGCAGGCCGCAGAGGAGGAAGACCAGCACTGTGAGCAGGATGGTCACGTACAGCCTGGTCAGCGGCATCTTCCGGGATCCACAGAGAATCCTGACCAGCCGGACCAGGCTAGAAACACAGAGAACCACACACAAAAAAGTCAGCCACGCGATTATGATGAAATTTGATGTTTCACACCAACAAGAATCAGCACCACTAAACGGGAAGTCACAGAACATCCACTCCAGGATGCTCCGCAGCAGGGACAGGGCCCAGAGCAGGACGCACACGACCGCTGACAGGTATCTGGGGCGGCGGCAGCGGTACCACACGGGCCACAGGACGGACAGGCAGCGCTCGGTGCTGATGGCGCTCAGCATGCTCAGGCCTGTAAGGTAGGGGACGGTCATCACACAAATGAGGATTCTGCGGGTGGTATGGGGGATATTGATGAGGCTTAACAGAAAACGTAAAACGTGGCAGCTGAGGAAGAGGAAGTCGGCAGCCGCCAGGTTGAGGATGTAGGTGGAGACAGCGTTCCTGCGCATGCGGAAGCCCAGGAGCCAGAGCACAACCGCGTTTCCTGTCAGTCCCAGAAGGGAAACGATGCACGTCAGCACCCTGAGGCTCAGGGTCAGCTTGTAGCAAGGAGTCTCCACAGTTCCGTTGATTCGTGTCACTGATGTACCCAGGGCTGGGATGGTTGGATCCATGCTCAGAAACCCCAGTCTGGTGCTCCTGGGAACACAGACCAGATGTGATCACCAGCTGTGTGATCTCTGATTCTCCCCACCACCCTGCCATGTGGGATTTTTACTGTCCTCATTTAAAGAGGAGAGATCAGAGACTCGCAGAGAATAAGTCACCTATCAAAAGGTGGGGGTCCTCAAATCCAGTTTGAAATCCAGTTCTTCTTGACTCTGAAGCCTGACCCCTCTCTACTGCCACACAAGTTCTGTACTGACATGGGAATAACATTAGGATCAAAACACCCCCAACTCATCCAGCCAGGGCTGTGGACCCGATCATTACTGTATCATGGGCCTGATATTTTATCTCAGATGGAGAAAGTCAGATACACAAAGAGATGGCTGTGACACACTCGTGACTAGGACAGGAAAGAAGACCATGCTTTATGAATGAGAGGAAAATGTGACCTTCGCTAGGATAAGTGTGAAAATGGCTGGGCCTGGTGGGTGAGAAATAACTCAGTGTATTAGTCATTGCAGACAGGACCACATTTTACATTTTATACTCACAGTGCCTATTTCCATGACCAGCACACTGTGCTCTTCATAAACATTCTTTCAATGAAGGAATGCATGCATGAGGAGCCTAATGGTACTGGTAGATTTGGATGAAATGGAAAATAAAGATGAAAGCACAATGTAAGGTATTAGAACACACATGTATAACTGGATGAAGAAAATTTCATTCATCAGAATTCTATTTGTGGACAGCTCTATCTGTGTTGAGAAGAATTACTGATGAGTGCACAAAACCTGAAATTGACAACTGATGTGCCTTTGAAATGAAGACTCAGTGTGGCTTTGCTGAACACCTAGAAGCATTTTTGTACGCAGTGTTTGGGTAGGGTCTGGGTCTCATCTGAATTGCTCAACAATAGAACAGAGGAAAGAGTAAGTGCAGATGAGGTCTGAGTACAACTGATGGAGGTAACTGAAGTGTGGAAATATCTATGGGGGACTACTAAATGTTCTGCTGAGTGTACACAATGTAAACCTATTTCATTCTCTCTTTCAGGAGATCTCTGGTAGCATTTCTTTGCTGATGAAAACATTTGTATGAGAGGTGTTCATGAGGGGAAATAGGCGACGTGTAGGGCTTGGAGTATAAAGAGAGATATTCATGCAGATTTCAACTGGAGAATGAGGATTAGGTCTAATCTGGGAGACTAGTAGTAGCTGATTGAGAGTTTATAAGGTATTGTCTCTTTTAGTCACCTGAAGAGCCCAGGAGGTAAGAATTGGTATTATTCCCATATGGCAGATAATGCAATTGGAGCATAAAGAAAGGAAATTATTTGTCCCAGGGGTTATACATGATATAGTATGAATTTGAGTCCAGCAGGACTGACTCACGATCCAGTCTTGGAGCAGCCATTTATACCCAGCACCACCCTGTGTCGATTATACATGTTAAAAGGAGTAAAGCAGAGGAGTGATTCTCAAGTTAAATCCAAGTTGGCAGTCAAAATTGTGGATTGAAAAAAAAAAACTGACCTAAGCAAACTCCAGATAGGGAATGAGAGGCAATTCAAAGAGGGAACAAAATAGAGGTGAGTGAACGCCATTTAGGGATAAATTCAGGAGTTCCTTTTTGCCTATCAGAGGCCACGTTTGCTCTGGAATCCTAAGGATGCACAGGGGCAGGAGGCCTCCTGGTGGACAGAAGATGCACCCTTTGCTGGGAGTGCAGAGAAACATCAGGAGTGAATGCATCCATCATGAGTTCTCTTAGAGGGACAAGCTGGCACAGCCCTGATTGGCCGAGAAAGGAAATGGGAGGAAAAGGAGAACCTCTGTTATCCACACTCAGGGCACTAAAGAGTTTCTCTGTCTATATTTATGGTATGATATGTTTGTCCTCCTCGTGAAATCCGAAGCTCCATAAGGACTAACTCATACCTGTCATTTTCCCTGTAGTATCACCAACATTTAACCTGTGTTCCTTAAAGACCATCTATGGTATTATCCTCATATAACATAAGATGAAACCAAGGCCTAGAGAATTAAAGGGTTTTCCTGAGTTCACAACAGGAAGAGCAGGTCCAACACCAGTCCCTGGTCCCTGGAGCCCTGCATGAGGTCCCAATTCTGTTCTCTGCCCCATCATTCATTATTTCTGAGGAGTTCCTGAAAAATCTTGATGTGAGCACAAAGTCAGAGACAATCAGGAGTGAAGAGACTGCTAGGTTTCCCCAACATTCATTTTCCTCTTTGGTGACATAACAATTCTGAGAGTGTAAAAGCAGCACAAGGACCCACATCCCAGTTTTCCTTGGTGCTGAATCATATCGTATGGCCAGGTGCTGTTAAGTGGAAGAATCACAAAGTGATGTAAGCAATTCCTCACTCACAGGATCAATAGAAGGAGCAAAGCTTCTCCTTCCTCTCGTCCTTTTCCATAGGCTGAAATGCTGATGTAGCTGGAAGCCATGCAGGATCACAAGGATGAGGGCAACTCTCTAGGGACTGGGGAGCAGCAATTTTTGGAATTCTGATGTGTGATGCCTTGGAGCTTCTAGTTCAAATTTCAAAGACAGTCATTTCTGGGTATTCACAGGGGACTTTTTCCAGAACTTCAGCACACACCAAAATCTGCAGATGCTCAATTTCCTTATATGTGATATTTGTATATAGCCTATGCACTTTCTCCCAGATACGTTAAATCGTTTTTAGTTATTTAGAACAATGACAAAATGCAAATGCTATGTAAATTCTTGTCATATTGTAGTTTTTCCAGAAATAACGACAAGGAAAAACAAGTCTGTACCTGTTCAGTACATACACAACTCAACCATACCCTTATTTTTGGAATAGTTTCCACCTGTGGTTTGTTGAATCTGCAGATTCAGAACCTAGTGACCCAGAGGCACAATTATACTTTCTTGTTTAAGATATTTCTACTTCATGTCTTGTTTAGAGCAGCCAAACTTATATTCTAAACAAATAAATATGTTCTCTTTTTAAAATTAAATTTTATTTTCTATGCATTTTTGAAAAATGCAAACATTTCTGCATAAAAGTGACAGTAGAGAAAGACATGCCCAACGTTAAAGTAGTCTGATGGAGCTGAAATGAGACAGGAATCAATCACCTTCAGGCAGAGAAAGCCTCAGGAAGTAGGAGGATATAAGAAGGTGAGAGGGATAGTCTCATTTGCCATGAGGATTTGCTTTCCATTCTTTATCCTGTTTGACATCCCAAGAGAGTGGCTTCTCGGTACCACATCAGTGGGATTCTTTTTATTTCTGGTTTCTGATGAAATTGAGACACTGGGGCATACCGGCAGGAGACTGGAAGACAGCAGGAGAGTGACTTGGGATTTCCACCTCCTGGCTCTCTGTTGGTGTCTTAGTTCCTTCTTGCATTGCTAAAAAGAAATACCTGAGACTGAGAAATTTATGAAGAAAACAGGTTTAATTGGCTCATAGCTCTACAGGCTGTACAGGAAGCATAGCAGCTTCTGCTTTAGGGGAGGCTTCAGGAAGCTTCCAATCCTGGTGAAAGGCAAAGGGGGAGTGAGGCTTCTCACACAGTGAGAGCAGGAGCAAAAGAGAGAGGGAGGAGGTGCCACACATCTCACACGGTGAGAGCAGGAGCAAAAGAGAGAGGGAGGAGGTGCCACACATCTTACACGGTGAGAGCAGGAGCAAAAGCGAGAGGGAGGAGGTGCCACACGCGTTTAAGCAATTAGATTTCGTGAGAACTCATCAGTGTCACAACAACAATACCAAAGGGGAATGGTGTTAAAACATTCATGCGAAACCATCCCCATGATCTAATAATCATCTCGCACCAGGCCTTGCCTCCAACATTGGGAATTATAACCAGCATGAGATTTGGGTGGGGGGGACACAGATCCAAACCATATCAGCCTGTGTGGTTGTGTGTTAGCCATGCAGGGCTTCTCCACCTGCCTGCTCATGTTCTTCCACCCCTATGGCTACAGCTATGGCTTTGGCAACAATGGTAATTGCTCCTTCCCCGTCCCTTTCAGCTTAGGTGAGGAAGTAGTGCTCCCCTATGTATTGCTGCTTAAGGTGCTGACCCATGCCTGGTCTCTTTCCCTTAACCCTGTGCATCTTTGTAAATACTTTCCTTATGAAACACTCCTTAATTATTTCAGTTTGGACTATCTATAACTCCCTTGGTCCTTTCCAGATAGGTAGAGAAGAATAAATTTAAAAAGGAAGTGAAGCAATAAAACCGGCTCTACAGCAGTTCAACTCTGGGAAGAAATGTCTTCATGTCCCCTTGCTCCTTAAATGAGTGTAAGAGGCAGCATTCTCTCCTGGAGAGCAGATTGAGTGATTGGAATGAAGGAGGTGATATGGGGATAAATCAGAAGGGGGACCCCATTTGGAACTCACACAGTTTGGGTTGGCAGCACTCAGTTTCCAAAAGGAAGCTTCATGTCTCCTGTCTTATCCTGAAACAAGCTCATGACTCCCTGATGTAGCACCAAGGTGGAAGCACAGGGACATGATCTTATAGCAAAAACCATAACTGACTATGGAAGAAGACAGTTCTTGGTACTTACCCTTATGGTTCCTTCTTTTGTCCTGTGGTGAAGACTCCTCTTGTGCTAAAGGTGGAGAGCCTTTCTGCGATTCAGTGGCTTCAGAGGATTTTCTGTGTTGCTTAATTCAGGAGATGCCTACAGGAGCTGAAATGAAACCTGGTTAGCAATCCAGGCTTATGAAGATGCTAGACGAACTCGTTATTTCCTTTATGAAGACTGTCGACAAATCAGAGGCCAGAGGTATTTGAGGCACAAATCCTAACTGAGATGATTCTTGGCCTCTGTCCCATATCCAATACATATCAGCCTCTCCCATCACATCCCATCTTGTTCAACTTCCTGTAAGTAATTGCTGTCCTGATTTTGAAAATCAATTATGGGCCTAGGTATCACATTAAGCAACGTGAACTTTCATTATGAAGCTTTGTAACTAAAGAAAAAAGTAGATCTTGGGATCGTCAAGGCTGACAATGGCCTGACACCATGTTTTGGTGTTTTCTTTATCATAGTATTGATATATTCATGTGTATACTTTCTTTCCAAATGCTAGAGAAGTGTATGCAAAGTGAATGTCTAGAATGCCATTGTCCAGAGGCTACCACTTGCTGCACATTTTATTCTAATTTCTTTTATTATTATCAACTCTGAACATTGAACAATTTTTAAGTTCTGTGAAGTTAAATCATTTATTATTATTATTTTTATTTCAATGGGTTTTTGAGGGAACAGGTGGTGTTTGCTTACATGGATAAGTTTTTTAGTGGTAATTTCTGAGATTTTGGTGCACCTATCACCTGAGCAGTGTCCACTATACCCAACGTGTAGTCTTTTATCCCTCGTCCCTCTTTCATCCTTTCCCCCAAGTCCCCATAGTGCATTATATTATTCTATGCCTTTACATGTTCACAGCTTAGCTCCTGCTTGTAAGTGAGAACATATGATGTTTTGTTTTCCATTTCTGAGTTACCTCAGTTAGAATAATGTGTCCAATTCCATCTAGTTTGCTGTGAATGCCATTATTTTATTCCCTTTTATGGTTTAGTACTATTCCGTGGTATATAAATATATATATTATATAGTTTATACATTATATATATATTTATATATATTTAACGGAATTGCTGGATGAAATGGTAGATCCACTTTTACTTCTTTAAGAAATTTCCACACTGTTTTCCATAGTGCTTGTGCTAGTTTACATTCCTACCAGCAGTCCAAAAGTGTTCCTTTTTCACCACATCCCCACCAACATCTATTATTTTTAGATTTTTAAATTACGGCCATTCTTGCAGGAGAAAGGTGGTATCGCAATATGGTTTTTGATTTGCATTTCCCTGATCATTAATGATGTTAAGCATTTTTTCCTATGTTTGTTGGCCATTTGCATCTCTTTTTTTCAGAATTGTCTATTCGTGCTTTCAGCCAACTTTTTGATGGGACTGTTTGCTTTCTTCTTGCTGATTTGTTTGGGTTCCTTGTAGATTGTGGATATTAGTACTTTGTCAGATACTTAGTTTGTGAAGATTTTCTCTCACTCGGTGAGTTGTCTGTTTGCTCTGCTGACAATTGCTTTTGCTGTGTTAAAGCTTTTTAGTTTAATTAAGTCCCATCTATTCGGTTTTGCTTTTGTTGCATTTACTTTTGGGTTCTTGGGCATGAAGTCTTTGCCTAAGCGAACGTCTAGAAGCATTTTTCTGATGTTATCTTCTAGAATTTTTATTGTTTTAGGTCTTAGATTTAAGTCTTTGATCCATCTGGAGTTGATTTTTGTAGAAGGTGAGAGATGAGGGTCCAGTTTCATTCTTCTATATGTGGCTTGCCAGTTATCTCAGCACCATTTGTTAAAAGGGTGTCTTTTCCCCACTTTATGTTTTTGTTAGCTTTGTCAAAAATCAGTTGGCTGTAAGTATTTGGCATTATTTCTGGATTCTTTCCTCTTTTCCATTTGTCTATGTGCCTAGTTTTATGCCAGTGCCATGCTGTTTTGGTGACTATAGCTTTGTAGTACAGTTTGAAGATGGGTAATGTGATGCCTCCAGATTTGTTCTTTTTGTTAAGTTTTGCTTTGGCTATACAGGTTTTTTTGTTTGTTTCCACATTAATTTTAGAATTTTTTTTTCTAGTTCTGAGAAGAATGATGATGATATTTTGGTGGGAACTGCATTGAATTTTTAGATTGCTTTTGGCAGTATGGTAATTTTCACAATATTGATTCTACCCTTCCATGAGCATGGGATGTGTTTCCATTTGTTTGTGTCACCTATCATTTCAGCAGTGTTTTGTAGTTTTGCTTGTAGAGGTCTTTCACCTCCTTGGGTAGGTATATTCCTAAGTATTTTTTTTTACAGCTATTGTAAAAGTGTTTGAGTTCTTGACTTGATTCTCAGCTTGGTCACTGTTGGTGTATAGCAGTGCTACTGATTTGTGTACATTGAATTTGTATCCTGAAACTTTACTGAATTTATGTATCAATTCTAGGAGTTTTCTGGATGAGTCTTTAGGGTTTTCTAGGTATACAATCATATCATCAGTGAACAGGGACAGTTTGACTTCCTGTTTATTGATTTGGATGGTCTTGATTTCTTTCTCTTGTCTGATTGCTCTGCCTAAAGCTTCCAGTACTATGCTGAATAGAAGTGGTGAAAGTGGGCATCCTTATCTTGTTCCAGCTCTCAGGGAGAATGTTTTCAACTTTTCCCCATTCAGTATAATGTTGGCTGTGGGGTTATCATGGATGGTTTTAATTACATTAAGGTATGTTGTTTCTATGACAATTTTGCTGGAGGTTTTAATAATAAAGGGTGCTAAATTTTGTCAAATGCTTTTACAGTTTCTATTGATATGATCATGTGATTTTTGTTTTTAATTCTGTTTATGTGTTGTATCACATTTATTGCCTTGTGTATGTTAACCTATCCCTGCTTCCCTGGTATGTAACGCACTTGACAATGGTGGATTATCTTCTTGATATGCTGTTGGATTGGGTTAGCTAGTATTTTGTTGGGGATCTTTGCATCTATATTCATCAAGGATACTGGTCTGTAGTTCCTTTTTTTGTTACGTCCTTTCCTGGTTTTGGTATTAAGGTGACACTGGCTTCATACAATGCTTTAGGTAGGATTCCCTCTTTCTCTATATTTTGGAATAGTTTCAGTAGTACTAATTCTGTGAATATCTGATAGAATTCAGCTATGAATACGTCTGCTCCTGTACTTTTTTGTTGGCAATGTCTTTTTAATTTTTATTTTAATCTCACTGCTTCTTTTGGGTCTGTTCAGAGTTTCTATTCCTCCTAGTTTAATCTAGGAGGTTTGTATATTTCCAGGAATTTAGGCATATCATCTAGGTTTTCCAGTTTGCACATGTAAAGGTGATCACAGTAGCCTTGAAGGATCTTTTGTATTTCTGTGGTATTGGTTGTAACATCTCCTGTTTCACTTCTAATTGAGCTTATTTGAATATTCTCTGTTCTTTCCTTGGTTAACCTCGCTAATGGTATATCAATTTTGTTTTATGTTTTCAAAGAACCAGCTTTTTGTTTCATTTTGCTTTCCTTGTTTGTTTATTAGTTCGTTTCATTTACTTCTGCTCTGATTGTTTTTATTTCTTTTCTTCTGCTTGGCTTGGGTTTAGTTTGTTCTTGCTTCTCTAGTTCCTTGAGGTGTGACCTTAGATTGTTTATTTGTGCTGTTTCAGACATTTTGATGTATGCATTTAATGCTAAGAACTTTATTCTTAGCACCACTTTTGCTGTAGCCTAGAGATTTTGATAGGTTGTGTTGCTATTATCATTTAGTTCATAGAATTTTTAAATTTCCATCTTGATTTCATTGTTGACCCAGTGATCATTCAGGAGCAGGTTATTTAATTTCCATGTTTTTGTGTGGTTTTGAAGGTTCCTTTTGGAGTTGAT